AAAAAAAGGTGGTAGGTTAAAAAAAAGAGGTTGGGGGGTTAAAAAAAAGGGTTCCCCATCTTTGAAGATCCAGGGACAAGCGCGGAGCGCGCAGGAAAAGCAGAGGCTGAAAAGGCGCCTGCAGCAACGGGAACGCAGGTCTTGATGGCAAAGGAGAAGGGCACGGGCAAGGAGAACAAAAAGGCGGTCCCGAAAGCCGAGCCAAAGGCAAAGGCAAAAGTGGAGGAGATGAGCAGCAAGACAGGCGGCCCAGGCGAAAAGAAGAAAGATGACGAGCCTAAGGGCCAGAAGGCAGAGGATGCCCCTGCGCAGGCCTCGGAGGATCCACAAGCATCCGAGCATGTCAAGAAGCCACGCGCGTACACAAACATGGACCCTCTCGCATGGACCGGATTCAAGTATCCAGGCGGGGGGATGATTCTGCTCACGAGCGACATTCGGTATATGGTGATGACAGATGAAAGGGCAGGATGGGACTTTCCAGGAGGGAAAGCAGATGAGGCCGAAGGGCTGAACAAGATGATGACATTGGAGAACGACTGCGACAAGTTTGCGGTCACAATCTTCCGAGAGACTCTGGAAGAGACAGGCTACACGGAGGATCAGATCCGCATTGTCGAGACAGGAGTCACGCTGCCGCCAAAGGACAGCCCATCGAGCTCACCATGGTACCCTGTCTTCATTGGCATTCTGAAGGAAGATGCGCCCAAAGGAACAACAAGCTGCAATGTGGTCCTGAAGACGATTGAGGATGTGGAGGCGGCCGTCAAATCCATCAGAGAGTCCACATCGAGCAAGGGTGAATCGCGTCCGCACATGGGGTCGATCTACAGGAAGCGCCTCTCCAAGGCGTGGCATCTGATCGACCGGCTTGGAGGCCTTGGATACTTTGAAAAGCTGAGGAAGACGCTTGGGAATCAGGCAGACGACAGCCAGGAGGGCAAGTCCACCTCAGGCAGCGACACTGAAGCTGACGATTCGAACGGCAAGACGCTCATCGAGAATATGGCTGCTCAGCTCATGGCTCAGGTTGAAAAGTGCCCCAATGACAGGATGAGGCCCCCTTCAGTCTCCGAAGCCAACAGGGCGATTCTCGTGGCGGCGGAGAATGAGCAGGTCTACAAGCTCGTGGAGAATGAAGAGGAGGACGAGTGGATTGGCATCACCTTCGAGGAGCACTGCCTGCTCTTCAAGGACAAATATGAGGACTATCTCGATTACTGGGAGAAGGCTGTGGTGATCCTCAGAGCTCCTGTGTCAAGGCCCGGGACGCCTGTGAATGAAGGCCCTGATGAATTCTGATGATGATGACTCTTCTGAGCATCATGAGCCCATTGTCAAGGTCGTGAGGATCAAGGAGGAGGATGTGTCTGCTGAACAGAGTTCGATGATCGGGGAAGGGCTCTCGCTGATTGCAAGCGGCATTGGATGGGCGGAGGCCAAAGGAAGGAAATGCTCGGACTCCAGCAATTTCAAGAAGGGCATCAGCATGATAGAGGCAACGTTCAGCGACCATGTCAAGGCAATTGCAAACATCAGTGGGTCCAACTGGGCATTGAAGCAGGCTGATGCCTCTGAGGTCCTTGCAATCCTCACGGAAGAGATGGCATACTTCATCCCGGCTGGAGCTGTCAATCTCGTGAAGCTCGCAGGATCAAGGGACCAGACGGCAGCGTACCAGGGCTCCACCAAGGTTGCAGACATATACAGGAGGTTTGGGTCGAGCGCAGAGAGCAAGTGGATCATCCTCAATTCCGGAAAGGACAAGGCTGTGGTCGGCTCCCTGCTGAAGCAAATTGGGAGCAAATCTCCAATCGCAATCCTCAGCACAGGAACCACAATTGGAAACCAGAGGATCCTCAAGTCCCTTGGCATCCATCGCGAACTCGCCAAGCTTGTAGCCAAGGACTAGAAGCTTGACGAGAGGAGGATCGTGCCTGGCGATCGAACAGAGCCAGGACGGATCCCATCACTTTTTTCAGTTTCAAAGGAATCTCGAGTGACAACTTTGCGACCAACTGCCTTCGAAAAAAATACACACACAGACAGACAGACAGACAGACAGACAGACAGACAGACAGACAGACAG